TCACATTATAATCATCTTATCACATTAATATCTTGAGACATCAGAATTCTATTTTTAATAACAATGATCTATTTTATCTTTTACTGGTGGTCGTTACGCGTGAAAACGCTTTATTTATTTCTTAGAACCAGCATATCTAAATAAAAATACTTGTGTGATCTATTCTTTGCCGAAATAAAAAGTAGTTCATAATATTAAAACACTTTTTGGTCATAAATAGTTACGATACTAGTCTGCAGGAAAATGCTATTAAAAACCTAATTTTTAAAAAATCTGTATAAATGCATTGAGAAAAATGAAAGGAGTTTCTTAAATAAATGACTTAAACTTCTGCATTAAAATTTCTGAGCTGAATTCTACATTTACTGTAAAAAGCACTATTCTGTTCTATGTTTAGAACAGTCATAAATAACAATTACAGAACCAGCACAAAAAGCAAATAAATTAATATTGGAAGAATGTCACGATCCCTTTCGAAAACCAGCTTGGACCATTTGCTGAAGCTAGAGCAAGGAAACTTGAGAAGTACGAAACGCTCCGTGCTTCCATTGCCCGAAAACATGGACACAACACGATCATACCATTCGTAATCGGTGCACTTGGGTCATCGGACCGTACGAATGATAAATTTCTGAACACTGTCTATTTCCGATCCTATGGCCGCCTACTCTGGATGCTATGTGTCAGCGATGTCATCCGCCACAGCAAAAATATCTGCGTGGGACACTTAAGTGGAAGAAGAGAATTGTCATCACACACAGAGAAAAACCTGCCAAACAATGATGAAAGTGACTCCCAGAGACAAGAATCCAGAGACAAGGAATATAGTCGAATCGGGTTAATTGGACCTCCGGATAATCGGACCAGTCGCTTTTTTGGACCAAATCCTAAAGAACCGAAACAAATCCTATGTACATAAGCCTAATATTATTCGCTTCTTTGGGACCAAAATTCCGTTTAATCGGAACAAAAAACGTGAGAGCAAATAAGAAACAGAAGCCACAAGTCGGCCGCGTAACAGCGAATGTACAGGTGGTCTGCGACACATGGGAGGATCTGTAGTTGCGGCTCCCTATGAAAATGCTTTATCAAAGGTCAGGAATTCCAGTACATGACAAAAGCAAAACCGGTGGGAGGTGAACACGCGCACCATTTTCTTAACCTTTCTTTGACCTGCGCCTCCGAGTTTCGAGGAAATGAACAATAGAGTGTCCGGCTCCACCTGAAAGGAATTCCTTCCTGTCAATCATGATTAAAGCTTACACGAGAAAGCTATCATTTCATCACCTTTTGGGGACGATTTTAGTGCCAAAGCTTTGAATAGCGAGCATTTTATCTTCCTCTTGACCTCAACATCTTGACCCGAAATAACAAGGTTTTTTTTTCAGACCACTTTAGTCAGTGAACTGTGCGCGTGTCTTGTCTCCCCTGCGAAAATGCCCCGACGGGACTTGACGCTAGCTGAACAAATTGGTTTCCTGGATAAGATAAAGCAACAAAAACGAAACACTAGTCAGCATCGGTTGGTGAAAATAAACCGGATTGACAAAGACTATAATTTCACGCTTGATAAAACAAGAGAATGAGCTGCGAAAAGAATGGGCACAATGTGAAGGACGAGGAGGAACTTCCAAAAAAACGGCAGTGTGAAGGCAAGGACCCAGTTATCGATGAGGCCCTTAATGAATGGTTTGCCATTGTTACTGGACGATCTGTGCGAGTAAACGGCCCAATGTTAAAATGCAAAGCAGAAGAACTCGCTAAAAAGCTGGGCCACCATGACTTTAAAGCTACGGACGGTTGGTTATCTCTATGTAAATCTAGACATGACATAAAATTCAAGAAAGCACATGGCGAGAAAGAAAGTGCTGATAGTTCAAGTGCTGAAGAATGGAAATCAACAAAACTGCCCGAGCTTCTTGAAAATATTTCAGCAGATGACATCTATAATGCTGATGATACTGCGCTGTATTATCGTGCTACACCGGACGGCTCCTTAAGTTGCAAACATGTTGCCCTCCCTGCCTCCAAAAAAGCGATGGATCGCGTAACTGTTTTGTGCTGCTCAAGCATGTCAGGAACGGACAAGAGGAAGCTGTTGGTTATACGAAAAAGCACTAAGCCTCGCTGCTTTAAAGGACTTAGGATGGAGAGTTTACCAGTTGTGTATCGTGCGACTAGAAATGCGTGGATGACCTCTGAACGTTTTAAAGAATGGCTGAAGGATTCTAACAGAGAGCTACAACGCCAGTTGAGAAACGTGCTGCTTCTTCTTTACAATTGTGTGCAGCACATACTCATTTAGATTGCTTGATAAACGTCCAACTGGAATTTCTACTTCCCAGGACCACAGCTTTGGTCCGGCCAATGGACATGGGTATCATAAAAAATTTGAAGACCCTTTATCATGCAAGATTGGTTAATTACATCCTTGAAGCAACTGAAGAAAGTTTGCTGACCTTATCGTCAAAAGTCAGCGAAGTTAGTGCAAAGGTCAACATCTTACAAGCAGTTACATTTGTGGCCGATAGCTGGAAAAAAAGGAGCAGTGAGACAATTCAGAATTGTTTTTCTCACTGTGGCTTTAAGCACTTGGTTTTGGAGATGGATGTGGACATGCTCATTGAAAGTGAAATGATGATTTACATGTGGAACGTCAACAGGCACAAAATTGCGACGAATTTTTATCCATCAACAACGAGCTTCAATGCTACGATGAAAATGAAGATTACGACGCTGCAAACGTTGCTCGAGTTTCAGCAAAACACACGACAGCATCGGAAGACCAAGAAAGTGATGATGATGGCGCTAATAAGTTGGTGCAAGTAATAACACAGGATGCAAGAAAAATGCATTGAAACTTTGAGTCGGTATTTCATGCAGGAGGGAAATGAAGGCATTACCATTGCTGCGTTAGATGTGTATGGCGATTCCGTTCACGTGCAATCCGTCAAGAGAACGCGTAAGATCACATTGGATAAGTTCTTCAAATGTTGATTGGAACTTGGTAAGAAATTGTTTTTATTGTGCTTCGCATGTTGAGTATCGGGGAGATTGTTTCTTAGAATTTGTTTCTAAATTAATTTTCTCAATGAAAAAAAGTTCGACTGCATTTCTTGTTTGTACATGTATGTTCGCCATACGTGTGTACCGCACCATAAAGTTCATAATTACATTTTAGTACATGATTTACATGTACATTTACTGTTTGCTACATATAGCACGTTCGTCCTACAACATAGGACATGTTCGTGTAATCGGACCAGCCGGTTATTAGGACCAAAACAATCGCTTCCCGATGGGGTCCGATTAACCGGAATCGACTGTACATACCAATGGACTAAATTTATAAGTATAAAACTGTAATAACATTCATGAACTTTGACATATGATTATCACGCATCCTATATTGAACTGTAGTGATATTCATGAACTTTGACTTGTGATTAACGCACATCCTTGATTGAAATAAGCATTGAATGCATATGTCTGCCTAAATTCTACGTAACATTCACTCATTACACCCTGTTGAATACTGTAGGTAACGTGCATAGTCTGTAAATATTATTAATACATTACAGCCTGTTGAATACTATAATACCTAATGTACATAGTCTGTAAATATTGCTAATATTAACTCAATAAACGTGTTTTTTTTTCTATACCTGACAAAATTATCGAAACATCTTCCGTTAGCGAATTAGATTTTTCCAGAGGATTTTCCCATTCATAAAAACTTTTCAGTTCCAGTTAACGATCCCAATTTCAATCGTTTTTTGTCCTCAGATTTTCAGGAAATTATTTCATTGCTGGTTTCCTTTTTCATCAATAGATGACGCCAGTACCTAGACTTCGTGCCAGCCGTTTTCATCGCCTGAGCACAGACTTCTCTTTCACCATTGGCATTTCTGCAGCTGAAGAGGAAGGTTCTATATTTAAACCTTCAAAACTAGTCCTGCAAATTTATGAATGTTACTCTAATTCTTGTTGTTATAGCTCTTAAATAATCGTTATTCGGCATTTTATTCTAACACAAATAAATTTATACTTTGAAATTTTATATGAGTTAGGCAATAAGACCGAAAAACTTAATTTCGTCTAGTTCTGGAAATTTTCATGATTTATCACACAGATTTTCTCTCAACATTCTAGAGTAATTAGGCATTTTTTATCACAGAAGGATACGTGAAAAATTTGAATGGTCTCGCCGGTATTCGAACTTTGAAAAAATCCTGCCTAGCACTAGGAAGTAAAAATAGAAAAGTAGTTAAAATTAATTTTTAATAATTGTGCAATCAAATAGATAATGTAGAGAACTGGGCAGGAGAAAGGTTATAAATGATAATGCTTAGAATTTTGTTATAATCTGCAAGAAAAAAAGTCTTAGAAATGCTCTGAGAATTATTTTTGATATTCATGCAAGCAACTAGATAATAGAGAATATAAACAAAACGTCGTTAAGCTATAAATAATTATGCTTAGAATTTGAAGTTACATTCATGAAGCTTCAAATTTTATCTTAACAATAGGAAGTAGATTTTATAAAGGCTTCAAGAATTATTTTCAATAGTCGCGCAAATAAGTAGGTGGTACAGAATGAAAGCAAAAAATGTTAGCTTATAAATAATCGTGATAGAATTTGGGACTATATATAACTTATATAATTATATTTTAAAGAAAGGAAGTAAATTTTATAAGAATGAGAGAGAATCATTTTTGATCACAGTGTATCCAAATGCATAATACAAAGAATTGGTATAAAACTTTTTAAATAACAGTATTTAGAATTTTGGATTACATGTAATTTACATATATAGAGAGTGAAATCCTAACCAAACAACAGTAAATCTTAAAACAGCTCTGAGAATTATTTTTAGTATTATTACAAAAAGTAGATAATATGGAATACTGACAAAAAATAAATTTAAAAAAAAAAAAAAAACTGAGTTGCGTTTTAAACAATAGTAGTGAAGTTGGTCCACAATAGAAAAATTTCCTACCTTTTTAAGTGCAGAGAGCATGTTTTCTCTTACGCAGTCTTCCTGGCATCTCTCATCTGCTATTTGGTTCACAGCTTCATAGGGTATAGAGAATTCGCACACTTGCTTTTTCTGAGGAATATATTTATTCTGAATAATAATTTTGTGTTAATTAATATGTACTGTTATTTGTATTCAAGAAGAAAATAAATCGAATTCCAGTGAGGTAAGGGAGAGGAGAAAAGTTTTTATGAAAATGCCCTGCTCAGAACAATTAAAATAAAAATAAGTTAACTCTAATTACAAGGTACTTTTTCAATGATCTAAATAGGAATGTAACTAAATTTACCATTTTCTCTTCTCTTAATTGATGCAATGACTTGAATGGAAAGAGCTGTATTTACTAATTTATAACTGAACTAACTGAATTTTTTTTCGGTTGGATATCATTCATCTTTTTATTACAATTTATGTCATGTTTTTAATTTGAGCAGGAATTTTTGAATTGTACTTTTACGAGGAAATTAAGGAATGAATGAAATTTTGATTGGAGTTATAGATGTTTTGTTTGTACCTTTATCTATAATCTGCGTGTTAAAAAGAAATAAAATTCTTCTCAATTTTTACAGAATTTTAAGACTTTGTTTAAATGGATAAATTTAAATTGATGGTTTGCAGACTTTAAAAGATTAACAAAAGATGGAATAAGCAGTTATTTCATCTTTCAAAACTTAATACCTTTAACGATTACTTAAGAAACTTGCTGAAGAGACGCTTAGAAAGATAATCCAATAGACTGGGAGAGCTTTAATAGCTTCTAATTAAGAGAAAATTAAGTATTCTTGGAATGCCGTCATTTTATCGAGTTCTAAGATAACCGTGAAGAATCTCTACTCTCTAATCAGTTCTTTCACAGCTCGGGATAGTTATATCTCTGTTTTGACAGCAACTTCAGTGAATGGAGAAGCTGATTCCAAGCTGTCATTTAAATCACAAAATTTTCAACGAAAATGTCCTTTAAAGGTAAAACAGGACTTTATTGGTGAAAAAATAATGAAAAGATCGCTACATGTCCTCGTCTCAGAAAACATGTTTTTTTTTAGAATGCAAGCGTATTAAATTAGCCTGATAAAAGGGTCGGCAAAATAGTCTAAATCTGAATCGCTGATTTTTACACTATATACATCGACAGAAAAAAGAATCTCATCATCAAGAAAATATTACTGTAGAGTAATGAAATTTCGGCAATATGTTTGTCTGGGTTACATATTTAATTGATTAAATTTTCAAGTTTACAGGTTAATGCAAACGCAAGAGGAGCCATTTCAAATGTGAAATGCTTGTACATTAATACTGTAACCGCCAGAATTTTGAATGTAAGCATGCAAAAGTGCATGCATTGTATGGTACAAATGCCAGATGTAAGTTTGCAGAATGGAGTTCCATGCTTGTTGCACTTGGTTGGTCACGGTTAATGCTGGTTGTGGATGACGCTGGAATAGTCATCCAAAGATGTCTCATACGTGCTAAATTGGAGAAAGATCTGGTGATCTAGCAGTCCAAGGCAACATGTTGAAATTCAGTAGAACATGTTGGATTACAACAACTATATGAGGGCGAGCGTTATCCTGTTGGAAATCACTCCCTTGAATGATGTTAATGAATGGCAAAACAGAACAGGTTGAATCACCAGACTGACGTACAAATTCGCAGGCATGGGTAACTACAACAGTGCGCCTGCTGTCGTAAGAAATTGCTCCTCAGACAATAATTTCAAGTGTAGGTCTAGTGTGTCTAGACCACAGACAAATTTTTTGCAGGAGCTCACTCGGCCTCTTTCTAACCAACACGCGGCCATCACTGGCAGCAAGGTAGAACCGGCTTTCTTCATAAAACACAACAGATCTCCACTCCATTCTCCACTGAGCTCTAGCTTGAGAAACTGATGTCTCAAACTACAGTGGTTTGGAGTCAGTGGCTGGCTCGGAGCTGTCCTTTAAGTAACCGATTTATAACAGTTCGCTGTGCCACTGTGGTACCAACTGCAGCTTTAATTTCTGCTGCAGAGCAGTACGATGCGCTACAGCCATACGCCAGACACTGTGGTCTTTTCTCTCAGTAGTGCCCCGTCGCCACCCAGAACCCGGTCTTCTTAAGCCAGTACCTTCCACTGACCACTGCGGTCAACAATCATGCACATTTCATACTTTCTGCGAAGTCTTTCAGCAGTATCGCGGAAAGAAAATCTACCTTTACTTAGCCCTATTACAAAACCTCGTTTAAACTCACTGAGCTATTGATAATAGCATTTTCGTCTTCTTAAAGGCTTTCTTGACTAACATCGTCTCACTACGTCAGATCTGAACGATAAATAACTATTACGTACAGCGTGTATTTCAAGCAAACCTGATTTGCATGTTCAGGATATGCGCCTAGCACGAAATTTGAAAAGACGTCATCTTTCAGATGTATAAACACGCCTACCAAATTTCGTTTATCAAGCACTACTCCTTCTTGGTAATGGGATTTTATTTCCCGTAAGTGTACATTTTTCAGTAATTTAGCGAGAATAGTGACAACTCATCCTTAACATTTCTCGAAATTCAACTCTGTTTTGGCATTAATTTTATACGGAAGGGTTCTATGCATTTCAAGAAACTGTCTAACGTTGCTGCTTTCTTCTTCCTACAGTCATCATGGATATTACTGCTTTTTCATTTTCCAAGTCAAATACAGTTCACCAGAAGCTGAAAGGTTTGAAAGATGCAAAGGCTGAAATCACTGCCATATTTATTACACATCTATTATACAATCGAATCCTGCTATAACGAGCTTCAAGGAACCTGTAGTTAGGTTCAGTATATCTGATCTGATGAGAAAAATGGATTATCTCACAAAACTATGCAAAAATTCAATGATGCAAACAAGGAGAAAAATATAAGCATTGTTCCATATGTCAAAAATAAAGAAAATAAAAGTAATTAAAAAAATATATTAAGGCTTAATTACAATTATTATTACGTGCAGTTACTAAATTGGTTGTTCATTCTTTTACAGCCTGTCCAAAGTGTGGCAAATTCGTTGAACTTTGCCTGAAATATTACCCACTATATGTGCAGGTGGCGATTTCTCTGAATGGCGAATCACTTTAGCAATGCTTCTTCAGGGTTCCTCTTTTCTGAACATTTTCCTGGTATTCAAATTTCTTTCATGAGCAGTAATTACAGAATTTTGATTTGTTTCATATGGTACGAATTATACATTTTAATAAAAGCTCGCCATGTGGATGAATTTTCGACACAGAAACAGAGTATAGAGAATTTGTTAAATAATATGTGACAATTCTGCTGTTCTGGGAAAGATGGAAAAGAAGATAGTTTCATCAATTACTTAGCCTATCTATACAATTGTTTCCCAAACATACATACTGTTGTAATGCAAATGGTCAATAACATTTATAAAGAATAGTTATGTCTTGCAAAAGACTGAAGAATGTAAACCCTCTGTTCAGAAGATAGAACTTATAGAACATTTATACTCAAATAAAACAGACAGATAAAGTTAAAAATATTTCTTTTTTAAAAAATGAGTTAGCTGTAAGATAGCTGTAAGGCCATAAATGAATTTCATAAGATTCACTTCTTCCTCACTCCCTGAATAACGAAAATTTCAAAAATTCCATCGTAGCATTAGCCTTGAATATTCTGTCTTCCAGATCTTTGAAAGAATTTGAATGAAGTTAGGAAACCCATTCACCTGTTTTGGAAAATGATTATGTACACCATACAGAGTCCTAAAATATGCTTATTATTATTGTATCTTCGTTCTCTTTGAATTGGGTTCCACACCTGTCTCACATAGTCTTAAAACATCTTCTCTTCAGTTTAATATGTGGCGGTAAAGATAAAAAAATGACCTAAAGATGTTTTACTTTGCAGAGGAATTCGATCTTAATATTATAATCGTGAATGATTTTAATAGTTAGTAGTGAAACTTTTTGTGAAAACTTTCAAAAATGATGAAAAATATAAAAAATTACATTTCAATCGAAAGTATTCATACAGTTCGTAATACCAAATTTTTATAATTCAAGAGGTTCGCGACAACAGTAAATGACAAACATTTTATGTATAGGAAACTATACAAGATCAAAAGTTTGATCTGTTATATCCGAGAATACGTTATAAGCCATTTTCGTTAAAGCGGAGTTGACTGTATATAGGTATATACAGATTGTTAGTAGTTTGTATATTATTTTTTCAGAGAGAACTTGATTCAGGTAGACTCTCAAGCCCGAGCCTAGAGCCTACATTTTACATAGGCACAAAATTATCCTATAATTTTACATAATCTTATTTTTCTAGGAAAAGCGAGCTTGGGTCCATGAAAGAGTGCCGTGAATACAGTTTCAGATGGTCTGAAACAAGCCTTGCTTCAGGCATGGAAATAAATTTAAATTAACGTATTTCATTCTTCTTCAACAGTAACTTAAACTGATTACATAAAATCATATGAAATTATATGGAAAGAATTATTGGCAGCTCACGTTCAATTTGGAATAGCTTTACTTATGACCGTCAACGTTAAACCGGGTTACTTCCAAAGAAGGACAGTAACTACACTGACTCACATTTTAAAAATATTCTAGAAAATTAAATTTTGTACTAACATAATTTTAGAAAACTAATTCGGCACTTAAAAAGAGTTTCTCCCTCTTGTAGGATAAAAGAAGCAAAAATGAATGTCTACAACTGCAGACAAGAGCAGACGACAAAGAGTCGTTAGTATCTTCATACAACGTTAATAAGGATAAGCTGCTTACTGGTTTCAACATATGAACAATCCAAAATTTTTGACTCCGTAAGAATTCTTGTTCTTCAGCATTGGAACTCTAGAAATAACGACTAAAATATCGACTCTGCTGTATCTTGCCAAAAGATCCAGTTAACAGCTACAGTCTTCAATACCGGGACCTGTCTGTCACAATCACTAACAATACTCTCGCCAGTATATCTAACTGAAAGTGGTTTCTATAGTAATATACATGCCTTACGCATTACAAGTAGGGATGGGGCAGATGAAAATTTTATTGTACTCTTGTTTTTAGTGAATGTTGGCCGTGGTAAAGACGAAACAATGATATAATGTGTATTTTACTTAAATCAAAAATCAAAATGCATACATCGCCAGTTCGTCGTCAAATGCTCCAATATTTCAAAATTAAATGCATACATTCAAAACACTGCTAGTGCTTGTTCTATGGCAAGAGATAGCTCTGGACAATCTGTTAGCAGGCAGGCAGTAGCACTAACTGATAGGAACCGAAAACACTGAACTACGGAACGTAAGTCCAAGACATCTAAAACTGAAAGCGAAGAATAAGGCACCAAAAACATTAGTTGCTTAAATAGTAAAGCTTCAAGACATCATTTCTCAGTGCCTCAGTAATGCTTTATAATGGATTGTTGGGGAATTACTGAAAATTCAGATTTCCAAAAATTCTCTCCATCTTTTAAGATTTATTTAAGAAATTGCAATTCCTATGTTTGAAAATCCCTTTTTTCTTTTTAAAAATTTTAAATTCCTTGTGCACAACATAGTATTACACAAGGCTAACAGAGGTAAGTAAAAAAAAAACAAACGAATACAACAACACAACACAAAATAAAATAAACTTACAAATTCACAGATGACACGTAAGAGATAAATTTACCGAAGAAAGAGAAAGCCATTTTATCTTTGTCAAGTACGTGAAGAGGGACAGGAAATGCAATATTCACAAAGTTTAACCTAGAAATGAGTTCTTTTTGTCCTTCCGTGAACTTTGAACAATAGAACAATAAATGTTCGACATTTTGCACTCCATCGAAACTGCATGAACACAAGTCTGTACTAGTTAATCTCAATCTCTTCATATATGAATTGAAATTACCATGTCCAGTTAGAAATTTAGTATTTTTAAAATTGCAGAAAAAGTGTTTATTATTGTGTCTGTAAGGAATGGAAGGAAAATATAATTTAGTCAAGGAGGCAGTAGTAGAATTCCTGTATACTTCATTCCACTTGAATATTGTATCATCCCCGTTTTTTCCTTGAAAAATGACTTTGGCAGAATCTTTGGAGTATTTACTTGAAGATTTGTAACTTGTACTGCCAACCAATCAGCCCTTTCATTTCCTAGATTGCCAGTGTGGCCACGTACATGAGAAAAGATAACATCAACACCTTTATTATTAAGGTATTTAAGAAAGGCGTGAGAAGTGACAATTAATTTATTACATGAGAAGATATTCCTAAGAGAAAAGGATGAAAGAGAATCAGTGCGAATAAGAAATTTAGCACTTTAGCGAACAGTTGTTAGGTACCCACTTAATTGACTCACTAATGGACAGTAATTCGGCTTGGAAAACACTGCATTCATTGGGAATTCTAAAGAGTTTGTATTCCAGTTCAGAACCATAATGGAAAACGACATAAGCTAATCAAACTCTATTATTAATTTTGTTGCCATCTGTATAACACACAACAGGGAAATTATCATCAACGGAATTGTTATAAATGATAGTTTGAATTGGCAAACGATCGGCAGGACGAGGAAGATCCTTACACAACACCTTGGTATCGAACATAAATTTGCTGATGAAGTTCAATCGAAGGAAACCCCGAAATTGCGAAACAGGCTTCATATTTAGTTGTTCTGTAACCACGCACAACTCTTAGTAAAATTGTTCTTTGAATTCTGCGAAGTATACGGGAATTAATCTTCTTTTCTAAACTTGTTCCCCCACACTCTAAATTCATAGCGAATAAGGGGGACTATTTCCTGCTGATAAATCATATCAATAACATTATATTTTAAACCAAAAGTATTGCAAGAGTCCCGATTAAGTCCTCTAAATATATTTTCACACTTATTGAATAAATACATAATATGATTTTTCCAACAAAACTTATGATCAAGAATAATGCCTATATATTTAATTTCATTCACCGTGTAAGACATTATCCAAGTACAATTGTTAGTTTGCATAGCTGACATGCTTTCTTTTAATTATCATAATTTTAGATTTATTAGGATTGAATTCCAATTTCTGTTCTCTGGACCAATGGAAAATAATATTAAGGCTGTTCTGAGCCGTATTAAAGAATGTATTGAGACACTTCTCTTGAAAACAAATTAGTAGATTATCAGCAAAAGCAATGGTTTTACAACTCGGACAATGTGAGAATCTATTGAGTAGATCATTCATTAAAATTCCACAATAAAGGTCCAGAAACCGAGCCTTAAGGGCAAACTCTTTCCAAGTACGGGAGGAAGAAACGTGGCCAAGGGAGAGCAATGCAGATCTGCCATGCAGAAAATCTTTAATAAGGCGGAAAATATTACATGGAATACCAGCTTTCCTTAAAAACACAAGTATCCCAGGCTACCAGATGTGGTCGAAAGCACTTTTGATATCAAGGAACACTAAAACTGTGTGTAAATTTCTCTTCTTACCTTCATCCACTATGTCTTTTAAGTACAAAAGAGCATCTTCACAACTCTTATAAGGGGTAAAATCAAATTGTACTTTGTTTAACAGTTTTTTTATTATACAAGAACCAGGTAATTCTATTAACAAACAGCTTTTCTACGCATTTTCCTAAACTGGGAAGAAGACTACTGCATCTCAAGTTATCTAAATGCGTTATACGAGGACCACTATACTTAGGGATTAAAACGGCATTCGCTCTTTTTCAGCAACGAGGAAATTAACCAAGCTTCAGACAAGTATTGAAGATTTTGGAGAATAAATTTCGAAACATGCTTCAAAAGTTCGTTTGAAATAGAATCAAGACCAGGAGCTTTATAGCATTTAAGGTTTTATATAACAATATTAATTTCTGATTAAAGTGAATGGAGGATCTAGATTACATTTACATAGTACAATAACATAATTTATTGAAGTTTCAGCCCTAATCACTCTGTGAAACGAATTATCCGTGCTAAAAGGGTCTGTGAGAAAGCTTCTGTTAAGAACCTCATTAGTTGTTTCTTCTAATGACTTTGTACAATTACCAGATGCGAGATAAATTCACTGACTTCAACTCTTTTCATAAAATTTTGCTTTATACCATTCGTATATATTTTTTTCGAAACATTCCTTTCATTTATATTCATTAGGAATTCTCTCCAAGAGTTAAGCTTTGCATCCTGGAGCTTTAAGCTGTAATTATATCTTAAGTGACGATATTTTGGTTTATATGGCTCTCTAAGAGTAGAGTTACGATTTCGTTGAAAACCTACGTTAACCTGCTTTCTCATACGTTCGATTTCAGTAGTCCAAGGTACCTTATGAACTCTTGGCTTTTTTACAGGCATGGAAGCATTGAATACGTTATAGAAAATCGTGACAAAATTTTCTAGTCGAGAGTTTAATGTATGCTTATCCGTACAGCACTCAATACACTGCGACAACTCATCAATCGACAGCTTAGATGTATAGTAAAAAATATTACAGTTAGCTGAACACAATCTTGCTGTTTTTCTGTCATAAAGAGTGTTATTAAAAGCTACAGATAGTTCAAACTCAATCGTACAATTATCAGAAAGGGATTCATAATCTGGTTGACAACAAAGCAAAATACCTGCAAGAAGATCAGCTCCCACAACCGTAATGTCAATACAGCTTTAACCTTGAGTACTACCGAAAGTAGGACCACAGTCTTCGTTCATAATGAACAGATTATTCATACTTAAAAATTCACAAAGTTTAACACCTCAGAGATCTGAAACTGGACTATGCCAAATTTCAGATTTACTGTTGGCATTCATAGCCTATATCAATCTGTTACAATTTTTTGAAGCTAATGCTACATTACTTTTATGCAAATCCAAGTCAATATTTCTGTTAGGTTCAAAATAATAAGACAAAATGATAAAATGAGTATTGAGAGTAGGATGAAGAAACACTATATTAAAATCAAGATTACTAATATCAAGCAGAGTAGACAGCTTTTGATTCCGTACAATAATAGCAGCTTTAATGGTATCACTATTAGCATCAAAATAAGCCCGGTAGGAGGAAGGCAAGTTGGGAAGAGAGCATTTATACGAGTGAGGCTTCTGAACAAAAGCGATATCAATGTTAGAATTTTCCATATTTAAAACAACCTGCTGAGTAGCCTTTTTCGAACGATGAAGATTAAGTTGAATCCTTTGAAAGATTATGTTGAAAATCCTTTGAGAAACATTCTTCTCATTCTAATGCAAGAAGGAAGTTAACAGAAATTTGCAAAAATAATGGCAACACTAACAACAATACATGAATACTGAAATTTCATTCGAAATGTATTGGCTCCAATTAAATTTAAAATACTTATTTCTTTTTAAAATCGCTTTATCTACATTTGAAACGTAAAAAAGACTGTGTTTAGAGGAAGTTTGGCTTTTATATCACTTTTTTGTTTCATATCGATATATCTGGGATAAATATTTACATATTCAAAATATTGCAAGTAAGTATTAAAAAATTACTCACCGATTCAAGAAACTCACATTTTGGTGTTTTGATTTCATCCGGGAAGCACAGATCATGGCGACAGACTGTTGCCACCATCAAATCTCGGAGCATCGTCAACGCAACTTCTATGCTGGTCTCGGACATGTCAAGGTATACTCGAGAAACAAATTTGCGACCCGATATTTCGTAAACTGAAAAATAAAACTAAGAGTGTTTCAAAAGTAGTTCAACTAAGCTTTCATTTTTGAAAAAAATTCGCAAAATGATATGTGCACATTCGCTCTTCTGTTTTGGAAAACGTATGTAGTAGACTGTTTTCTTACGAGATTTATTATGTATTGAAAAAACATTTATTCATGTAACAAGATACAAAATTTCGTCCTCGGGATATTCTGTTACAACTGTGTTTTCTGCGTTGACACTATGGCGAGCCGAAATTAAAGAGACTAGAGGAAATAAATTGTAGTAATCCTAAAACTAAAACAAGAAAAATTAATATTATTTTAGAATTCTACTTTCTGACATTCAGTTCGATTTATTGAAAATCCTCCGGCCTTTTAAAGACCTACTCTGTTTGAAAGTGGGAAAGAGTTTTACTACTAAATCGAAACCTTATGAAATTATTTATGCTCTGGGGATGTGACAATGATTTTAAGTTTGTTGGCTGAAATTCGTGGGAATCAATGACTAGAAATACGGTGCATTCTTTCAAAGAATGAAAAGATTAAATATTATATACAGGTGATGCAGAAAAATCTTATGAAACTTGAAAGAAAGATCACTGATACAAAAACGAACCATTTCTGTCCTGGAACATATAGCCCAAATGTCCCCCTGGGTGCGCTAGGGAACGTTTGTAAAAAAACGCAGTGGTCAGCTCGAGTCTTTAGTACTATTCCAGACATTGATGTTGAGGGAGAATGATGCTGAAATGGTTCATATGCACCTCGTTTAAGTAGCAATGAATACAACTAGGTGACCCAAGATGTGATTGCATTGTGAGCAGTCCTGCTAGGAAAACACTTTTATTTCAACAATGCACTTTAGACAGTTCATCGTAAAATCGTTCGCCGCATGTCTACATTACTTGCTGTGTTTAAGAATGTCAGCGTGCTGTGGTTCCTTTTCGGATACACCTTGCTCTTCCATATTCATGCAGCACAATATGAACTAAATTCTTTGTTGAACAAATTCAAAGTAGCGTATTGTGTCACTTCCGAACAAAGAAAGAAAAAAAAAAAAAACTAAAACTTAAACTGGAGATCAAGTGTATCTGCTGATTCCAGAGTCCAGTAAAAAATTCTATGGCAGATGGACAGGACCTGCAGAAATAGTATCTCGTTGTAATCCAGATTCTTTCATAGTCAAACTGGCAGATGGTACAACAAAAAGAGTACACATAAATAAAATTAGAATATTTAATCCAAAAGTACAGGCAGTAGGTGTAATATTTGAGCACGAAGAAGAACTAGGAGAAGTCCATCTCACACCCAGTGTGAGTGACAATCCAATCATTTTCATCTTAGCGAAGTAGACTTAAGCCATTTAGATGATAATAAAAGGAATGACTTGATGAACTTGTTAAGAAAATATGAAAACTTATTTATAAATAAGGTACAAATTGCCAAAGTAGGAGAACATAAAATAAGATTAAATGACACTGAAAGAAAGAAACCATATGTTTATCGAATACTAGAAGCATTAAAGCCGCAAGTAGACAAACAAATCGAAGAAATGTTGCCAATGGGATTGATTGAAGAAACCTAACGCTGAAATTTCGTACCCTGTTGTATGCGTTATGAAGAAAGACGGTAATATTCGCCTTTGCGTTAACTTTAGATTCCTTAATGCAGTAACGAAACCAGATGACTTCCCTATGGAAAATCCTAAATAGCTCTTATTCCATATTGGAAAAGCCAACGTGATATCCACCATTGATTTACTCAAAGGCCATTAGGCCGTACCATTAGAAAGAGAAAGTCAAGAATTAGCATATTTCAAGACACATCGTGCTCACTATCAATTTAAGTCATGCCTTTCGGGCTACGCAACGCCGTTGCAACATTTCAGAGAGTGATGAACCAAGCCCTTGCTAAATACAAAGATTTTACTCGAGCCTACGTCGATGACATAGCAATTTAATCAAATAGTTGGAATGAACATTTAGTACATCTAAACCATTTTTTCAAAACTGTTAGAACTAAAGTTTTCCGTAAATCTCAAGAAAAGTTTCTTTGCTAAAACTCACATTAAGTATCTAGGACATGTCATCGGTTCCGGCAGTCACGGTACTGATCCAGAAAAAGTGGAGGCTATCCAGAAATTAGCTAGACCTCAAACAAAGAAACAATTGAAAAGCATTCTAGGCATATGTAATTATTACAGAGATTGCATTCCACGTTACGCCGAAACAGCTTATCCATTAACCGAGCTCACCAAAAGAAGAAGTCCTGAAGAGTTGTGCTGGACAGAAAAAACACGACGAAGCATTCGATAAATTAAAGAAGTGCTTAATGGAAGCACCTAGTCTTCATACTCCTATTCCAGGGCCTTTTATAATTCAATGTGATGCATCTTCAACAAGTGTCGGAGCCTGTTTATTTAAACGGAAAAATGGAAAGTTGTACCCGATTAGTTACGCCAGCCAGAAACTAACCAAAACACAACAAGCATGGCCAACTTTTCAGAGGGAAGCTTATGCTATTATTTGGAGCCTGAAAAGATTGAAACTTGGATTTTTGGATCACCGGTGGAACTGATAACTGATCACAATCCGTTAACTTTCATCACAAAGAACGCATCACAATCTTCTAAGTTACAGAGATGGGCTTTAGCATTACAAAAGTATGATATTACAAATTCACATTGCCCAGGTCCTAAGTTAAGCAATGCTGATGCGTTGTCCAGACTAGAGACTATTGAGTGACTTGTGTGAAAGAAAGAACATTTTATAGACATTTATGAACTCTTAAGATTATTATTTTTTGTATGTGTTTTCTTTTCAGCTACTCTCATAGAGACTTTTAAGTATACCATAGAAACTTTAAGTATTCTATTGCATTTAGAATTGTTTCATTACTAATTGTTAATTATTTATATGTTACAGTTTTAGAAGAAAGTCTTGTATTAGGTATAGAAGTAACCTGTATAAGTATTGTGTTATGTATCTTTCAGCATCAGTATTGATTGATTTGTAGACTTTAGTAGGTAAGTAACTCTTTTGTTTGACGTCACCATAATTTGTCATATTTCAATAGGCTTTCACCCTATTTCAATCTTGGATGAGGGTTGTGATGTATGGGTGACGCCCAACCATCAAGATGTATAGAGGGCGCTGGCTCTCAATCTGAAGGCGCGAAAAGTTTAGTTTCCAAGAGGAAGACCGACAGAGAGGTCATAGGGAAAGCTCGTGGGAGCCATTATTGAAACCGAAATTAACTTGTATTACTTTATATATTTTAGTTATTAGTATTGTAGTTTAATATTAGTTTTGTGTTTATGCAATAAATGTTCAAAATACAAAAAGGTGGAATTATTTCCTCTATGAGGCGGAGGATGAAGAAAGGGGGGATATCACAATGATCATGTGTAGCATGTGAAATGTATCATAACTTAATATTATTTATGCATAATGAATTCCCCCCCAGTTCAATGATTGAGTTAGCGTACTTCATATAGGAAAATTTTTATACATATATGTAATATGTAGTGTGTGTATTAAGTAGTACACATATGCAGGGTGATTCATTACCAGTGTGACAATCTTGCTGCAGGTGTAGGGGCTACAAAGACAATTCGGAATCACCTAACATTGCAGGGTCCGAAATGCCTTCGTCAATGCAGCAGAGGGCGTTGAACGCGAGGTCGCGTGAACAGCGATCAGAATGAAGATCGGAAGTCAATATTTGCAAACCGGCTCCCGAGGCAGTAAGATGGACAAACATTTAAGCATTGAATTGACCGATATACACCTCGCGTATGGAGCTGCAGATGGTAAAAGGAGAGAAGTTTTGTGCTTGTACCAGAAACGTCTTTCTCACAGGCGTGCTTCTCATCACAAAACTATCGCACAAATTCAGTCTGAGTCTGGTTGTTATATGAGAACTGTCATAAATCGAGAGCGAACGATAAGGACGGCAGACAATGACTAGAATGTCCTACGTCTATTAGATTGTAAACTAAGTACGAGTATTTGAGCTATAGGTTATAGGTTTTATATAGTTTGTCCCTATCAATTGCATGGAGAATACTCTCAGCAAACCAGATGCGTTCATACTATCTGCAAACGCGTCCAGTCATTGGAGTCTGCGAATTATCTACTCTGAAAAAATTTTGTAACTTAATATATTCAACAGAGTGAGACAGGCAGGGTCATTTGCTCAGAACCAGATTTCGACTTAATAAGGCCCTAAGCTATTTGAGATATGGAGCTCTTTATAAGTCTGTTATAATATATTTTAATACTATTTATACTACATTTTAATTTTTCGAGGGACCACCAAGAAAGTGAGGGCCCTATTCTATAGCTTATGTAGCTTATACGTAAATCCGGCCCTGCATTTGCTACATCCGTATTGTTCACGAATCAGGCAATTTTCATAAGAGTAGAAGCTTTCAATCAACATAATGCCCATTGGTGGGGCTTTGATAGCCCCCATGGTACGCAAACACGTGCACTTCAAAGGCGTTTTTCTGTTAATGTTCAGGCCGGCATTTTTGGAGATCATTTCTTTTCACTTTATAAGGTATTTCCCCCCGTCTTCTTAGCATGCCTTCGTAGTGTAGTGGTCAGCACGCTCGGTGCGCTTTCGAGAGGTCTGTGGTTCGAGTCCCGGCCAAGGTGTTGCTCATTTTTCGCTTCTCCTGCTTCCAAATAACCTAATTGCTCTACAACTTTACCTTCTAACCTCTTGTCTGGACGATAGGGCATGCTTGGTCTTTCTACAGTATGTCCTGCCCAACTTATTGACGAAACACATGCTCCTCAGTCGTTGCGTCGCTCAGTGTCTTTCCAGCATGATGGGACCCCTCCACATTACACTAGTGCCATCCGCAAACTCCCAAACGTAGTATACAGGCAGCATTGGCTAGGTTATGGTGGTTCGCTGAATTGGCAGCTAAGACCGCTAGAACTATCCTGCCTGCACTTCTTCTGCTGGGGTCAGATAAAGACATTGGCGTATGACCCCTGTTGATTGAGTTCAAGACCTCGTCGCTTACATCTCTGTAGCTGACGGGAAGATGCGAGACACGGCAGGAAACTTCCAGAACGTTAGGAATTCCATGCAGCGCCGCTGTGAAGCCTGTGTGACTGCTGCTGGTTGGAATTTCAAAGACCTTGTGTAAAAAGTGTGTAACCATCATTGTAAAAACACCAATGCAAAACTTGCAATTAAAATTATTTCTGTTACAATAATGTGTTTCTTTTTTTTTCTTTTTTTTTTTTTTTTTTTTTTTTTTTTCAACCGCAGCTTGCGTATAAGGCATTTTGGCCCCTGCTAGGTTATGTGATTACGAATCATCTTATTGTCACCCAACTCCTTCTGCGAGTTTATCGCACTAGTAGTAAATCACCCTGTAGATTCTTCCGTGCATCATAATTTAATACTGGGTCTGTACACTGTGTATGTTACTTAATTTTGTCTCATATTTTTGCATTTTAAATAGATAATTAAGTACATTAAGAACTATATGTGTTACGTGGCATATGCGTCTTGTAGTATACAATTCTTACGTGCAATGTATGTTAATATTGTATTTGTGTTCTGTGTATTCTATTTAGCTTAATGTCCTACTTGGTATAATCCATGTACATATTTATGCAGTTTATAACGAAATGTTGAATCTCTGCATTGTAGCTCTATATGTTGCGTATTATGTACTATGCATGCAGATTCTTAAGCGCATCATAATTTAATATTGTACCTACGCATTGTGTATTTTACTTAGTTTAATGTATTTTTATTGTATTTACACAGGTAATTCTGTGATACATCATTGTGCATACTGCGCAGCCTATCCTCTCTCTAGCACGCATATAGACTTGTAATCGCATTATAATTTAATACTGTATAATATTTATTATATATTTACCCTAATTGAATGTCTCTTTGGTGTATTTTATATCGATATTTATGTGATATATTAATTGTGCGTATTACTTAGCACGTGCATTGTGTAATATGCAACACAGCCTTTTGAATGCATCATAATTTTATTATTGCATTGTGAAGTTTATTTAGTTTAAATTTCTTATTTAGTGTAATTAAGTAACACATGTATTGCGCATTTATGTAGCCTAATGATCTATTTCGTGTAGTTTATGTAGCGAACACCTATGTATGCGTTTATCTGAGTTGAAATGGCATTTCCATAGCGCAATATTTCTGTGAAGTATACTCACAGTAACAATTTTGTGTCATATTTTTGTAAAATAACTTAGGTCTGTTAAATCATTCAGATGCACTAGGTCCTTGTAAAACTAGGTAATGTCGAAGAAGAATGCAACTAACATCCGGGGCAGCCTTTTGCGCTCCAGGTGTTGATGACTCTAGATAAGTAGAGGACGCAAGACAAATACCCGTTTAAGCCCCTGGTGTCCCTATCCTCCGTCACTACTCACTTGGCAGTTGGATTTGAATAGAATGCCTAGAAATGTGTATAATATTAATTGTTCTTAACTTGAAGATGGTACGTTCAGTTTTCGGCATTCTGCAATGCTGCTTGGGCATGCCACTCAGTTCCTGCTCTTACACATTGCCGGCAGCATACAGAAATGTGTGTGCGTTACTGTATATTCTGTAATCTTTTCATATGCGGGATGAAACAGCGTAATAGAACATAAAAGACTTAAAAGACCATTTTCCCCGTTTTTTACTAGTATTTGCTTTATAACTGAATATAAATGAGCATTGTTTTGTAAACAAATTCCCTTATTTATGATTTAAACAATATGTAAGAACTTGTCTTTTGTACGAAAATAAAAAATGAAATCTCACCCATGAGTTTATGTTCAAACACATGGCTGCCTTGACTTGCTGAAATCATACGCGAAGATGGTATGTATTTGCACTTGTATACCCCACTGTCTCCAATGTGGGCATTGGTGATTTCAAGTTGACCATTTCGAAATTTTGTAAATCGAGCATTCACCAGTTCGTTACCATCTTCATAAGTCCAGTTGTAAGAAGCACCGATGTCCCTTCCCCCATAAATCTGAAAACCCATGGGAACACAATCCATTCGAATGATAGCGCCACGTAACACAGCGTAATCACCTTCTTTGCCTGAAAAATGGAAGAAGGAAAATTTTATTCTTATGTGCATTCTTTTTGTAATTTGTGGTATTTTTTATTTAGTTAAACGGTAAATGTCAGTGCATTTCCTTTTAAAATTTTAAAGTTTCGCATCCATTTGAGAACAGAACTTCAGAAATAAAATATAATTAAATTTTGAAGATCGATATTTATGAATTTCCGTGAGAAGTTATCAACTGCCTTTCACAAAAGAAATTGCCAGTCTGAGTAGGAAGAATGGCAAAGTGCATGATGAGAAATCAAACTCCCGAACGTAATTAACTACAGTTCAAAAATAAATCCTCGTTATTAAGTCAACTCGAAAGGATGTAAGATGTTTCTGAGCAAAGATATTATATTTAATACCTACGCATCTTAATATTATTAATTTATAAAAATGTTTGTATTTTTCGCTCAACGTCTGGTGAGGCAGCACCCTCATCTATGTACTCACTACTCTATCCTTCAGTATTACGCACTCCTTCTATGTGCCACTTTTGGGAAGCTTTGTGATTTCTCTCCTTTATTGAATTAGCTCAAGTTGGTCTAAAAAATTCCATTTAGTTTAATCAAATACGAAGTTCTTTTCGAATGCGAGCAACAAACATCACTTCTGTATAAGTATTTTCGAGCTATCCCCTTTTGGCAAAATAAGTAAAAGTATGCCGAATCCACTATAGCCAAGAATTTAAAGATGATTAGGTTGACGTATAGCTTTTCTAGTTTCTTATTATAAATATCTATTATAAAAATTGAGAAAAACTGTTGAAGACTAAGACAGCATTTCTTCAAAAATCTTCCAGAACTTGTTTTAAGTTACGCAAAAAATGGTGGGAAAAGTGCATAAAATGGTTACTTACTGTAGGCATGTAGTCCATGTGGGAAAAATGTAACTATCCACCACACTTTGCAAAACAAAAAGAGATCTAACTGAAAAACAACTCATTATTAATTAGTGTATAAATGATTATTTGGTACTGATGTCATATGCGATCTACCGCTTTTAATTAGTTACTTATTTATTAGATGACGCTACTAAAATGCTATTTTTAAATATGAAAATAAATACAAATACTTAAGAAGACATAAATGAAAATTATTCTGTTAGTTAATTTAATAAACTGTTAACTCTTTAATTCCATTTAATTGAATTTGTTTCCAGGTTTGTAAAACAAAAGCAGAAGTGGCCCTTAAAAAATCCGTTTTTATGACACATTCAGCTGCATACATTAAGAATGCCACGCAGCATGGCCAAAAAATAGTTATCACTTTTATTAACAGAATCCACCATGCTTCTGCGAGATAACGTGCAGGATTTTGCGGGGTGGTACTCCCCATGTTATTCGGAAACTTTACATTCAAAATTTCCGAGCAGGAGGCCATTGTTTGAATATTAATACCGTGTGCAGGATTGACAGCATTCGTTTGGTAGTTTACAGTTCGATGATCGTAGGATACAATCTGTAAAGTAGTAGATCGCATACTATATCAGTACCGATTATTATACGTCAAAGTAAAAATTATATGGCCTTTAAAACATCTTGAATTATTTGCAATAATGGATCAAATGTTTAAAAATATTATCATTTGTATAACATATATAAAACAAAAGATTTAGATGCATTATAACTTATATTAAAAAAAAATAAAAAATATTCTTGTTAAGAAATATATATATATATATACAGGGTGTTCGGGATAAATTTGACAGTTTCGTAAGGAAAAAGAAAATCCGCTTGTATGAGTAGTAGCGAAGATATTCATTGAGTGCAAGCTTCATAGTAGAGGCTGCAACATTCATTTCACGTGACAACAACAACAACAGATATGATCTGAGCATCAGTATAAAAAACTCGAAAAACATATTCCATAATAACGTTCAGTAAACTGCAACAAATAGCTGAGAAAATAAAGGCCGCGTAAGAAAGTGTATGGACATAATAGTTCAGCAAACATATTATTATAATAAATGAATCGCAAGTAGTAGGAAGAAAGCACATAGTAGAAAGCTTCTTCTACTACAAAATTTCTGAAATCTTAACTAAAACTGTTCACAGCCGCCTCATTTTCTTTTCATATTCAGTTTTTCTCACAATGCTTGCGTTTTAAAATTGATACAAAGCTTTGGGTTTGAAAGGATTTTGAGTTCATACAAATGTGTGAATAGGTAAAATAATATGAGCTTTTCAAACTCAGTGATTCGTATCATGTCTGTACATGTTCTCGTACCGTAGCATTAGAATAACTAAAACCTGGAGTGAAATCAGAATTTCATTATTAGTCGCACAGCTATTATCCCAACTCACTAACCCAAGTTTTGATAAAGGAAAAAAAAAATTTTCTTCGGAGGATGGATCCCGGGGTCTCCCATTCCTCTTCTCTACCACCGAACCACTCGAAAGTAGTTTCGGTTCATCAGTATTTTAAATGTTCCCATGCCGCATACACAATACAATTACGGCTCTCCGCGTTTCGAACCCGAGCCAATGATACTGCAGCCAGCATTGTCTTCAGCATTATAAAAACTACAAAGCCTATTATTTTGCAAATGATAACATAAAGGAATTGTACTGCCGCAATAAGGAGTTTAGATTTGCAAAGTATTTGATGAACTTAATAAATGGCAATAGAACAGTACTGGGAACTTTGGTTTGATGTTTTATAACTGTATTTTTGTTTTAGTCTGTGTTTTAACTCTTTGTTTTAATATTTTAACTGTAATTTTGTTTGTCTGTGTTGGGTGTACTGCGTTAACCATGAGGCCGATTATTATCGGCCAGGAGGGTTGCAACACACTTGTATATTACATTACTGCAGCCAGCATCGCTAACAACAATAGCAACCAATGCAGCGAATCTAAAACCACATGAAACTAAGAAAGTTTTGAATATTTTGTACTGCCCCTTTAAACGCACTGTTTAGGAGCCATAGAAGTAAAGAAAGCCTATGTTTTTAATAACAAAGTAAAGATAATTACAATTAACATAATTCTTAGCTCATAATTCATAGTATCAAAAGACAAATACGTTTAAAACTTTGAATAAACTTATTTAAGCATGATCTTAAATAAGAAATATATTTGCAGAATTTTTTTTTCTATTTACATGACGATTTTTGATTTTCTATCAGAGGTTTGTTGCTACATAGTATGCAATATGATTTTTAATGTAATTTCATGGTACCTCTGAAAATATATTTAAACTTAGAAAAGATTACAAAAACTACTTACATAATAGTAAAAACTCATTTGAACAAAAAATGAGCTGAATGGGAAAAGACTTATCTAAAAGAAATAAAACAAAATTGAAATATTAACACTGGTTATGATGCGAAAAATTTTATAAAGTTGTTTACTTTCAGATCTTTTCAAATGTTGCCAATATTATGCAGAGAAATGTTTTCACACTCAGAAGCAATAGTTGAAAATACTTGCACGCACAGTGAAGTTTCATAATTATGAGTTCAATACCGTTGAGATATTCATTTAAATATCAAACAATGCAAGCATTCAAGAAATAAAAAAAGACACATGGAAATGCAATGGTGAATGCAATTCCTAGTGACATATTCCTCTTTAGACATCTAAGCACCGTCCGTTGAAGTTCCTACCTTATGAAACGATATCCAATGAAAACAGTAGAAAATAATCAGTTAATGTCGACATAGTTGGAAGCTCTTTGGAAATTTCCTAAGAATCCAAAATGATTCTTTAAAAATGAATTTTATTCTGATACTGAAATTCTACGAGGTTTCAAATCGGGGTAACACAACGACCATAACGACATTAAGAAACCAGATTCATAATGACCTATAAAACGGCTATAACTTCCTTGGGAATGTAATTGTGATATTTAGTAAATAATTATGATATTGTTAGTAAATAATTCGTTAGTTTGAAGATTTCAATCGGATAATGCTGATTACAAATCTGTGATAGAAAATTTCTGTAAACTCAAAATCGCCGAATCAGTAATGGGGAAAAAAAGGTACAGGATAGAATATAATATTCGTTGTAGTATCTCTCTGTAATTCGAAAGGAAAATTAATACATCGAAATTAGGGATTGTTTTTGATGCCTCTTCGCATCATCCTAATATTCCTTCGCTAAACAAATTATTGCACCCTGGACAAATTTTATCTCAGGCCTCTCAAAACTTACTGTTATATTTCTAATCAACAAAATCGCATTTATTATTTAAGTTAATCTAGTAGGAACTGTTCGTAAAGTTTTACATTTTTTGTAGACAAAGATTTAGCAGGCAATGTATTTGATATTCTACCCAAAATTCTAAGATGACTAGAGTCCTGTTTTGTATAACTTTAATCCCTTTCTTTTAAATGCTGTAATTAAAATCCATTTGAAGCCATAATACAGTGTGTATCTTGATACATGTTTGATGTTAAATTAATCGATGAACATCACGATTTGTTATCAAAAGCTTCGAATAAAGAAGTAGTTTTCTGAAGATCGACAGAAGCAGAATATGTAATCAAAGAAGGGGATGTGAAACTTCAGAAATAGAGAAGTAATTCTGGCAGTGCTTGAAAACATGTAAAACGATTCTGATTTCGAAATAAATACATCAGATGACGCAGATTTTTCATCAATAGTAGTATGAATGTTAAGGTATTCTCAAAATGGCATTTTTAACTTTGAAGTCAGAAAATTCTTAAATTTTGTTGTGAATTCTGATTCTGCTAAAAGTGCAATAATCAGAACTGCGAGTATATTATTTGTACTCGGTGGGTTTTCTTTCTTCCTTTACCGTCAGGTCGGAACTAAATTATCAAGAACTATGTTAAAGAAGAATTATTTAGGATAAAGAGTTACCCTAAAAGTTAAATAAAAACTGGAAAAGTTGGTGGTTTGAAATTGAATCCCTGTTGCAATGAAATTCTTTGAAACAAATATGGAGATAATTAATTGGAAATACCTTTACAATTAGACACATTTTCCGATGCAAGACTGACAGCTTACGGTGCGATTGCGTACGTTAGATTTAAAAAAGAAAAGAACATCATCATTAATTTCGTAATGTCTAAAAGCAGAATTTGCCCGTTGAAAGAACTGCCACTTTCAAGATCAGAATTAATGAGTGCAGTTGTTGCCAGAACTGCAGATTGCCTAAAATATGTATTCAGAGTGAGGAGATTTTGCTTTCGATTTTGCTCTTCTATTTGATTCAAATTTATTGAAAAGCTTAACTGATGGCAATGTCCTACTCAATTAATATTACAAGATCTTTTATAGACTCAAGGCAGTTTGAGTAAAGTTAATTCAGAAGATCTAAAAATTGAGAAGGAAAGCTGGAAATACAATGTGCATTGTATGCAATATCAGATAAAATAGCGGAACCAGTTATCGATATAGAAAAATTTAGTAAAATGTCAAGATTTTGTAAAATTAGAGGCAGGATAAATTGCTTTATACATAATGAAAGAAACCTGCATAATAATCAGCGTACTGGCAAAAGAATGAAAACTGTTTGAATTTGATCCCAAATTAGATGAAAACAAATTCATATGCATAAATATAAGAATGTATTGCTCTTAAAATGTAAAATAAAAATAAGAGACCCAAGGTTAAATCCTAAAAGAATCAAGTATGGGGAACTTTTTAATTATGGCCGCTCACAATAAAATACTATATTCAGTAATAGCTTACAAATTGGCTGAACTACGATACAAATTTTAGATTCGCAAATAATGACACAACTTCAAATTTGTGAGAAGCAAATATTATTTATTTAGAGGATATAGGAGTTGTCCTGAAGTATTACAGCTTCGCTTCCAGCAGAATCTTCAAGAATTCCTTCGTGTTCAAGAATATTCTTCAGTCGTTGCAATTGGTATTGATTTCGCTGCACCCTTGTTTTCAAGACAGAATAAAGAAAAATACTTTTTTCATTATGTACCCGCATAGTAACACGAGTCGTTCATTTAGTTGCACTTAAAATTCATTTCATGACGTGCACCATGTTCTACAATGCAGTTATTAACAAAAAACATTCAACTATTAAGTTATTAATTATAGAACACTATAAACATATAATCACATGCAATAATTACTACTAAACATCATTACGGTGCAATGGAAAATTCATGTTAATACCTATATTGTAGTCGGTAAAATGTGTGAACATGTGCAAACATAAGTAAACATTTTCTAGCAAGAGGAATCAAGGAGGATTATTACATCATTATAATCAGACAATATATAATCAAACTGTTGCGTTGTGGAAAACCATTTGCAAGTAAAACACCTTCTATGAATAAGGTCCAGTGTAAAATTAATTAAAAATAATTACAATACAAGGTAAGTAAAATCAAACTAACGTTTATTTATGGTGATAAAGAGATTTGGTTACATTACTGATAGTGTCATGATAATTATAATTTTCATTCCAATTATGAAGAGGTGGCTGGTTAACAACTTTAGCTGAAGAACAAAAAATATAAAGCATACCTTTAAACCTTTAACATTACTAACATAACCAGTGAGCGGAAGGCCCTCCTTTCAAAGGTTGCAATAAACACCCTAATGCACTCTAAGCAATTGTAAATAGTAAAAATAAGAAAAATTAATATAACAGCAAAGTCATCTTTCCATACTGAAAAGGGTTAAACATGAAGGATTACACACAAAACCGGTTTACACTGGAAGTGAATATTTGGTTTAACAATTAATTTGAGGAAACATGTCCAATTTACTGAAACAGGCAAACTTCAGATGATTTTTTTTTTTCTTTTTTCATGGAAGGGATACACCAGGAGATTTTTTTTCACATGAATGAAGAAGCCATAACGCCTAATCTGCAAAAGGAATAAACAAAATTAAATTTTAGTGGTACAAGTCTTGAGGCTCGGCTGTCTCCCCGGGACGGCTCATCCACCAGAAATTAACGGTAGGAACCATTTCGGCTACGAAAGCGAGAAGGTAGAGGTCAGTAGCCATCGAATTTCCAAACCGTCACAATTCTGACAAGCTCTTCGTTGTTAGCGGGAGTTAGCGGAGTTTCTCAGTTTTTAGCTCAATAACTTATAATATATTACACTGACTTATACTGCTCACTGTCTTATAATATATTAACAGATCGTGCAAGCTCTGCACTTTGCACCGTATTGTGTTTAATGTTATTAGTAGTTTGAAGTGGTAGCTACTGATTGTGCTTTATGCTGAGAAGAGTTGTACGAGTACTTTTGTGGGAAATTCCAGCACTGGAAAGTGTTTCTTTTGGAGAAATAAATTTAATCAAGCTATCATCGGTTCTGTGTGCATTCAAGCCATTACGAATCCGTACTCATGCAACAATATTTTCTCTCTTTTTTCTTTTCTTAACCTATTTAATATTTTGTTGTTTCTTATTTATTTTTATTTATATTTATTTGTTTAGTTTCGTTGTTGTTGTCTTGTCCATGGAAAAAGTGCTAAATGGAGCCAAAAGTCTGCAGGACAAGCCTTGCCAGGTCTCGAGCCTGAGGACCATAAAGGATATCCTGTGGTGGTCAACCAAATTGGTAAAGAGCAGCAATAATAGCCTGGCAGTTGAACATATACTTTGGCGCTAATTGGATTTGTGGACAATTTATACATATGGGGTAAGATCTCGAGTTATCCCCTGGAGATATCTTCACAGCTTTAAAAGGGCCTGTACGAAGTCTTGCCACTGCATACGAGAGGCTTCTGGGGCAGTCAAGATCCGGAATTAGTGGCTTTCTAAAATATCTAGCAAAACGTTTTCGTTTGCATCTTCAATAACAATGGAAGGGGGGCTGGTCCAAGTCTCGAGCTTCTTTTGCCAGGGCATCGACACACTCATTTCCCTCGATGCCCACGTGCTCAGAGATCCACTGAAAGATACAGAGTTTTCTTATTTGATTGAGAGAAAATTTATATCTTCAGTTATACTTGCTGCAGATTACTTCGAGTGCTCATTTTGAATCTGAGAATACCACCAGTCCATACGTTGAAGCGTCAAAATTGCTTAAGACGTAGAAAATAAAGGCTTCCTTGATTTTAATCATTTCACTGGTGAAGTTTAAGGCTACATGGTCTGTGGGAATTTTGAGTTTAGTGTTTTCACCAGAAATGTGGACAAGAAGAATACCAGCACCGCCTCTATGAAACGTATTATCAGAGGATTCGTCTGTAAGGACAAATATTTTATTTTCCTGGGAGAATGAGTTGATTGTATCAACTCGGTTATGGCACAACATCAGAGAGTCTTTCTTTGAACACGGTTCTTACAAGTTGAGACGAATCTTAGCATTGGTAGGTTGTTTTGGGGAGAAAAGAAGGTTCCTGCAGAATATCTAGATAGCAATTATCAAGGGAAAAAT